AGATTCGGTTCTTATTCGGTTCTTCGATTCTTGGTCTAAAATCGAGAACCGAACCGTACCCGTAGGTTCTCAATTCATATACTCGTTCGAGTATTTAATTTGACAAGAATCATCGAGTTCGGTTCGATTCGGGTTCTGTTCGGTAGGTTCGGTTCGGGAGATTTGTCCAGACCTACATACAATACTTACCCGGGGATAATTCTCCTCCACTCCGTCTCGAACGCTTTCCACTTGGCGTTGTCCATCTCCCTGAATAAGTTCGGGTGCGTCCTATCGATGAACGTCCTCCTCTTGGCCTCAGCCGTAAAGGGGGAAGCAACATACTATGACGACACTCTCAACCTCTTGCCGATCACCTACTCCGTCTCATCAACAGTATGTCTCTTACCCTCAATCACGACAGGCGTCCTCTCGACCTCCGGGGCCACCTCCTCTGTTGCCACCTTCTCCGCCCCTCCCATCGGGGCCTCTCCTCCGTCGCCACCTTCTCCGCCTCTCCCATCGGGGCCACCCCCTCTGTCATCCCCTCTTCCATCCCCATTGGGGCCACCCTCTCCCCCTTTATGGACAATTACAATGATTCTAATGTCTCATCATGCCAAAAATGTGGGTGACCCCCCTCTCCATCACTATCTCTGCCACCCTCTCGATCATCATCTCCACCATCCCCTCTGTCCCCCCATCGCCTACCGGCCAAATCTCCTCTAAGTGCCGACACCGTATCCTAAATGTCGACAATGCAAGACCGTAGCATTCCAACATCATAGGATAGATCGTCAACCCTCCCTATCAGATAGTCGACCTTCCCTGTCAGATCGTCGACCCTCCCTATCAACTTTTGTCCCGAATCATCGACCCTCTCCGTCAACTCTCGTCGTAGCGCGTCGACCTCCTTTGCTATAAATCCAGTCAGACGGGCATACAAATCATCACTGTGTGTCGGAGATACACGGGGGACGTGTCTGGACGAGGGAGAAGGAGATACCCTCGACGGTGGTGATGCTAATGGCGGAGGCGATGCCAATGGTGGCGGCAATACCCTCGGCGGAGGTGATCGTCGATCAGCTGAACTGCCCTCCTACATAAATAACATTAAAAATTATTCAATAAATTTATACGCCGACGATATTCCATAAATTATATTTAATTCACATACCCAATCTCGGTCCAAACTCGAATCAGACATCTCCTCGTCTTGGGTGTGCGGAACGCCTAAATCCCGCACAAGACCCCGAGCCTCCTCTTCAATTGACGGCGTCAACTCAGGTATGACTTCAAGCTAACATATTGACATTTCAACTAGTTAACGATCATGTAAACAGATTTTAAACTACGTATAATATAAATCACAAATGCATAATACTTACCTAAGGATCGTCGAGGAGAGCCGATAACTGTTTCCCAGTGGGACATCCGTCCACTCGCGACGATCTCCAATGATGCATCCGAGGGTATCGTGTCTCCCCTCGCTTCACGAAGCGGGCCCCCAACGCAGGGACTGTCTCATACACTCAAATCTACAACACATACACTTACTATGCATAAATGTAATATACTAAAATTTTAACTTTAATTATATTAAACATTTACATGCACCGTTAAAGGCAATCTATATGTATCGTATTTACGCATTGATCCCCTGGGCCTTGAGTGTGATCTGGTGAAGACATGTACGGTGTCTTCATAGCATCTCCGGCCCCATGGATAGTTGTTGAACTCATCGATGTTGTCAACAACTTCTAAATGAAAAATGTCGATGACAGTCTTCTTGTGATGACACTTCATCACTCTCTCGAGGATGTAGACCAATCCAAACTTCAATCTATCTAGCATCTGGTCGCACCTCTTGATCGCGACCATCAACTCGGGTAGATGCACCGACCCATGTCCCGGGAAGTACATCTCATACAGTCTATAGCTTCTCTTAATGGCTGCATCGTCGCCCCATAATTCTCAGTCCAGTGATCAAGCTAAATTCATATATCAAGAAACTGACGACCTTATTCCCGAAGTCAAAGTGGAGGGATCGTCGTCGATTGGCCTCAGAAGTCGACGTAGAAGTGCACCTCTCGAATTTGGTACAGTGGCCACAAGAAGGACTGTCGTAGCATATCTCCGTGATAATCATCAAACAGCTCTAACACAGCAGTAAAACTCTCAAAGCAACTATTTCAAGTAACTTTCCCCGCCATTCGTCTCAACTCCCCATCTAAATGACACTCCATCCTGCAAAAATTCAAATGTTAAAATATTGAACAAGAGATAATAAAATAACGCATAATCTCAAAAAATTAAAGCAACTGAATTCTAACTACCATACAATATGCAAGACATTGACGCTAATAACAAAATAAATTCAATACAAATTTAAAAATTAAAATAATTTAGTTATAAAGAAAATTAATCTTGTATATTACATTTGGAAAATATATTTTTAAAAAAATTCAAATTAAATACATTTTTAAAAAAAATTAAAGAATATAAATATTATTTAAATAAATTAGAAAAAAGTCAAAGATTATTCATAAAAGAAAAATAAAAGGAACAAAATAAATTGTTAATTTCGGACAACATTATCTATTCAATTATTAAATTATATAAAAAAAAGGCAATTATAAAAAAAATAACATAATTATTATTTAATCAAATTAAAATAAATTAATTATAAAGAAAATTAATCTTTTAATCATTTGGAAAATATATTTACAAACAAAAAATTTCAAATTAAATACATTTTAAAAAAATTTAAAGAATATTTATATTATTTAAATAAATTTGAAAAAAATAATCAAAGATTATTTCATAAATACAAAAATGAAAGGAACAATATAAATTGTTAATTTTAGATAACCTTGACTGTTCACAGTCCATGGCCCGACTGTTAACAGTCTAACAGTCGGGCGGACTGTTAACAGTTGGATTGACCCGACTGTTAGCAGTCAGCGTCTTTTATGATCCTTCACCGGAAATCGCCATTGTCGACGTTAGAAAGATTCAAAAATTACAAAAAATTCACATTTTCACCGCAGCATGAACCACAAACTAACTACTCATGCATCTTCATCTAATTAAACCGAATAAATGTAAAATAATTCAATTAATGAAAACTGGAACAAAAATACAATTTCCTGCAAGAAAACTAACCGAAATAGTTTGCCTGGTGGTAGATACATGCTTCTAGTCATCGATTGAAATCACTATGTCGTTGGTGGTTTCGATCGGTAGTTGATCGGTCATTTTTTTGGGCAACTGTGGCATCGATTTTTTTTGGGTCGGTCAGTTAGAGAGGAAACTTTCAAACAGTTTGTAGCCTTGAAGGGTAAAATCGCCCTTTTAGTGTAAACTTATGTTTTAACTTAATTTTTTTAAAGTTATTTAATGGGTCAAAGGCAAATGCTAAAATTTGCTATAGTCAAGAGTCATTTCCATATATTTCCTCATTTATCTTCTTGGAGGCACTGCCCATATTATAGCATATCCCTTTTATTTGAGTTTTAAGGGTAAATTCCTCTTTTACATTTACTTGACCTTTTTATTTTTGAGATATGTGCCGAATTTGCCTAAAAATAAAACAATAAAATACTAAGAGATTAATGCAAGAGTAAAAGGGCTGGACTGGGGTAAAATGTAAATGGAATTACAAGGGAAAAATACATAAATATCGATTGTACTTTTAAATTTGACGAACGCCTGAATTTTTTTTCGAAGATTAAATAAGTTGAGGTCACAATCCTTTTTTAATTTATGGTCATGGTTATGTACTATCGCAATCATGGAATACTTATATATTGATCATAAATTGTCAAATTAATTAGTTATAACTTATTTATCTGTCATGTATTATAAAATGAACCAATCACAATAACTCAATTTACCGTTTACAAATTATTTTACATCTTCACCACATCGCTTCTCTAGCACCCAACTATCGTCGGAACCATTCAAAACATCGTCGTTGCTTTAGATCCGCAAATTATCATCTCTAATGCATCACCACCATCTGCACCAACCACCACCATTGCTACCTCACCATTGTCATTGCACCAACAACCATCATTTGATGTTGCAATTGGAATCATGCAGCGTGCAGATTGCTACATTGTCGAGTGCTGTTGGGTAAGAAGCCACGGCAACTTACACGGTGATGCTCGTTTCTGCTTATAACAACGATGATGAATGTTGTGCGTGTGCATGAGAAAGGCGAGCTATTGCCTCGAAGAGATGCTATCAGAGAAGTGAACTTTTGTTTGGGGCAAAAATGAATTAGGTTTGAGTGGTGTGGAATCGAGTGGAGTGGGATGAGGTGTACCTAATTTTTGGAAAAATAACTTTATCATCTGATTATTGAAATGGGATGTTAAAATGTAGGATTTAAGGTAATATTTTCATGGTTCAATAGGCTCTAATAATAGGAGAGCTTTCTGACTGGTACCAATGTGCTTCACTAGCCAGTGACTATTTCTTGCTGGCATTAAATAAGTATGGCTATGTCATAGATTTTGTCAGTTCAAATGATAAAATTAGATGGAGTTGTTAGATTGAAATCAAATTAAATAGCTATTTAATTGAATAAAATTGAGGAACAATTACTTAAGATATGTAGGATAAAAGTATAATCAAAGCAAATGGAATTTACCATATTTGTTACTCTCCAACTTATTGTTCAAGGAACATTATCCTCGATAGTAAAACAAATCCATAATAATGAAAATTTATGCTAAATTGTCAAGTAATTCTCACCGAAGTCTTTCACTAGACACCATTTCAAGTTGAAAAGCGACACTCGAATTTATAATGTTAGATACCTAAAAGTTAGGTGGAGATGATTTGAATGTTTTCATTATTAGAGACGGAGTTGTAAATTTAATGAAAGATTTGACTATGAATTTGTTAATTTTAAAAGTCAGACATCAATTTTCTTCTTATACAATAGATTAGGGATCGGTGGTGCAAATGTCCATTTATTTATGAATAAGCAGTTGCGTGTTTCCACCATCTCAATTTAAATTGAATTTTCGAGATGGATTTGATGATTCATTCCTCAAGGTTCCTCCTTCCTTATTTTCCTGCCAACAACGGCCCGTCTCAATCGTGCGCACTGGTAGTACTAAACCAACCCATCCCTCGATTCACTCCTCTGCTCTGGAACCACGGTAAATTATCATTCGCCTAATCATTTTTTTCCCTTCGTTTTTTAAGTTAGTTCTACTTTTGTTATGTATTTATGCGGCAGCGGTAAAACGTAGTTTGATAATTCAGTGTAGAACAGCACGACTTCGTGTTTGTGCAGATGGCGGAGCGAATCGACTGTATGATGAGTTGCCGCAATTGTTTCCTGATGAACAAGCCTCGGCTATTCGAAAAGGGTTCGTCAAACTCGTTGTATACGATGAGATTTAAATGAGTACACGTGCTGTCCGTTCTCTAACAGCTCAAGCTTGTAGATGAAAGGGACACGTCAGATTTGAGTTCAAGTCTCGGTGACCAATTTAAAAAAGAGCAATTCGTTGTTACAAACTATTTTGCAATTGCGTCCCGTGATCATCAGACATTGATGTGTATTATTTAACACATTTGATGAATGTTGCAATAGTATCAGTAGACTTGCTTTTGTATTTTGTAGTTTTTAAGTTTAAATTTCAGATGCACGTTGTTGAAATGTTGTTCAAAAATCAATAAAACAAGTAAGGAATGAAAAAGTAGAAGTAAGGCCAAAACATACAACTGTGCGACCCCATAGACCATTTCGGCCTGCAGTCGCATGTTCATATGTAGGGCCTAAAGGCCCTGCCGTGGAATCGACTATGCAGCCCATGCGACCACATAGAGTAAATAACTAGCCGTTATGGTCGTTGTTATCTGAATTTTGGTGGTTTTTCATCCTATTTTGGCACCACTTCGTGAAGTCTTGTTGAGGCTTCTAAATAGGTGATTGACATTCATTACAATACACTTGAAAATGCCAAGTTAGTGATTACATTTTCATTCCACAAAAGATCAAAATCCTCTATCATATTCGTCTCCTTGTGTTCTTGAGTTTTAGAAGATAACACTAGTGCTTACATATTATATCTTCTTCAAGGCTTGATAAATCTTGTAAACTGTTTATCAAGATCCCTGTAAGCATCAAATTCATCTAGAGGGAGCAAATTTCGTTTGAGGACAACAATTACGTGTTCCGGTCTTCTTCATCTTCATTTTTGTTTCTAGTTTTATTCTTTGTTTATGCTCCATTCTCCTCTTTGTGAAGACATATTTCCAACACCTGTGAGATATATCCAATGCATAATTGATGTATTTTTCCTTTGGAAGTTGTTCGTTTTCTCTGGTAGTTTTAATTATAGTCAAATACCTGGAAATTCTCAAATGAAGCTTGGCTATGTTTACTTTGTGTGCTTTCATATATTAGAGGAGACTTTACTTTAAAACAAAAAGATCAAAAAGGAATTAAGAAGGCAAATCTGGTTTAGAAGAGGAGACTTGACTTTAAAACAAAAAGATCACAAAGGAATTTTGAGAGAAATAGAGAAGGCAATTCTGGTTTTTATTGCAATGAGATACTGTTGTAGTTTATAAACAAATTGACTTTCTATAGTATGATAGTTTTGGGGGTTGTGAAAATCAGATGAAGACCCGTTCTTTCTATTTCTCTACCTTGGCTTAGGAAGAATAAGAAAATAGGCAAGGTTCTTATCTCTTGCAAATCAGTGTGTCTCTGAATTGGAAAAAGAGGAGTATAAGAACAATAATTATGATAATGCTATTTTTTACCTCTTTGGTGTTAATAACGTGATTGTTTATGCAAGAATGAAATTGGTGGCCTTCCTATGAGAAATTGAATCCAAAGGGACAATTGATGGATTCAATTTAATGGTTGTGTTACTTATCAACAAAAAAATTTAATGGTTGTGAACCCATGTCCAGGACTTCATGCTGTCACTAAAACACGAAGCTTTTAGGGATGATATATTTTGATAATTCATGTGTAATGCATTCAGTGAGCAGTCTGCCGGCTGAAAAGAGGGAATTTTACTTTTATCACTCTTTATTGTTGATAGGATCCATTTAAATTGATAATATACTGACACTGTAAGTTTTTGAATCAAGATAGTTTATATAGGTGGCTCTTGCAACTCTAGTAGTTTCATTTGCACGTTGATCTCCTAGTCTTTATGCTGAATCTTGTTTGGGAAATCATTCTCACAATTTCCTGAATTCAGTGAATTGTATGCTCAGGGTATACAGCACTGAGTGAATTGCCTCTTGGTTTTCAAGTCTCAAATTTGATTGGATAATATTCTTGTGAATATTTGATTATATTGATAAAAGTCGGGTGATTGGAGCTGGTTCTTGATATCTTTATCCTATACTTTCCAAGAACCAGAGAGAAAAATAAATGAACGAAGATATTTGTCTAACAATTGGAACTTACAATTATTTCATTATTTGGATGATCCAGGTATATGCCAGATGTAATAAAAGGAGACATGGATTCGGTTAGAGCAGAAGTATTGGAGTTCTATACAAATCTTGTGAGATAATTGTATCCTTTTGTTGTTAAAAATGCAGCAAATCTTTCGAAGTTATTTATATATACGCTTGAGTAGAGTTGAACCCTAATTTTGCATCTTTGATTTATGTGGATGTCACCAAATTTTAAAACCCATGTCAATGGTACTTTCTTTCCTGTATGATCACGTAAAAATGCGTCATCTTAAATGTCACTTTCCACTGCAGAAAAATATAAGGCCAGGTTTTGCAAATTTAGATCATGTTGTGACCCCATTAGAAATAAGATGAAGCTTTTCCCGTCATGCGCGATTAGGAAAAAATATATATTTTAGTATTCAAGTTCCTTATTATGTTGATATGACTTGCTAGGGCTGGGCAAATCTTCCGAACTGAACCAACCGAATCGAACCCGACGGTTCTTGTCAAATTAAATACCCGAACGGGTATCTGAATTGAGAATCAACGGGTATGGTTCGGTTCTCGGTTCTAGATCAAGAACCAAAGAACCGAATAAGAACCGAATCTTTCTAATTTTTTTTATATTGAATAAATCAAATTATTTTAATTTTAATTTTTTCTAAATCCAAATTTTTGGCCCAATAATTTGTTTCATTTTTAATTTTTTAATTTTTGGCCCAATTATCCCTTTTATTGTCTCATTTCTTAGCCCAAAAAGATTCAACCCACTAAATAATCCTAAACACCTACACTAAAGTGCATAACGCTGTCTCGACTCTCGCAGCCTCGCTGACATTCCAAAACCTATACAATCGTCGACCGACGTTGTGACCTCCGCCAACCGAAATTTTGACCGTAACGATCATTTAAACAAGATAGTCTACCAGTTTCTGACATTTCAAAACCATTGAATGTGTCATTAGTTGTATTTATATAATGTTGTTATAAATGTTAAAAAAATTAATTATAGTACAGAACCGAACGGAATCAAACCCGAACGGTTCCATAATTATATTTGGACCCGACGGTTCCATTTATTAAATACCCAAAAATTCCGCGCCCACCCCTATGACTTGCTCTTGTTACTAAGGATCTAGTTCCCTACTATTATTCCAAATCATAATAATTTTGGGTGAAAAATTGCTATCAAACGGGGCTTAGTTTGACTAATGAAATTTAGTAACCAAGTCAAGATATTCAGTTAAGATATGATGATATCCTTTTTGTATGCTTCTAGAGAACTAATTAATTTACGTTTTCAAATATTTAACTCATTCTTTGGTATGTTCTAAGAAACCATATTCTGAGTATCTATAGCTTGCGTATCAAATGCAGGGAACCAATGCAATAGATGCTTCTCATGATCAGGATACCACGGACTTACATAAATGTGTAGCATACATTCGTGACTTACCATATCTGGAGAATCATAATGTATGTATAATGCTTCAAATGTTCCATTATCTCATGCTCAATATCTATAATATATATGCTTGATCTCTGTTTATGATCCATCTTGTGATTAGATGTACTCTTTCTAGAAGTTGTCTAGTATAAACAGAAAAACCTGTGAAGGGGTTAAATGGAACTTGAAACTAATACCATATAGGATGAGTGCTATCTTATTGTTATTAGCAACCTTGATGGAATCTGAAACATTTATGAGCATGCTTGGAAGTGATTATAAGATGTGAATCCTAAAATATGTGGATAATAAGTGGGCAGTAGTTGTGGATTTTACGAAATGTATGGATAAAAAGTATGTTTGACCTGCTTAAATCACGTGTTATACTGAAGGATCTTCCCTTTCTTCTATTTTCACTTATGTGCATCTATTGACATTCTAATCATTATGGCTGTGGTTAAATTGCTTAAATTTTAGTTATACATTCTTGTTGCTGGAGCCCTTGGTGGGAGGTTTGACCATGAGGTTGGAAATATCAACGTACTATGTTTTTTCTCAACAACCCGAATAATACTTCTATCGGATGATTGCCTAATCCAACTTCTTCCAAGTAGTCATCATCATGAGATCCATATCCAGTCCTCTGTTGAGGGCCCGCATTGTGGACTCATTCCCATTGGCGTACCATCTAGAAGCACTACAACCACTGGGCTTCGGTGGGATCTTAGTAAGTATTTATCGGTACATGCATTCTAGTCTTTTTAACCATTCAATGATTGTGGCTCTTCTCAAATGCTGGTCTATGAAGACCTCACTTTCTTTAGTCAAGTTGAGACACTGTGAATAAGATATGATTCTTGAACAAAATTCCACCTTTTGGTGAATTTCGTACTTCTGTGCCTTAATACAAACGTGATTAATGTACTGCCTTTCAGCTGAGACAGAAATGAGGTTTGGTGGCTTGATCAGTACTTCAAACATCGTAAAAGGGGAGAGAGTAACTGTCAAATCTGATTCGGACCTCCTCTGGACTATATCCATTAAAAAGGCATTGCTTATGAGATGAATTGTGCAACTTGTAGATGATTATTGATTCGGCTGAATTATTCGTTGTGATGCTTCTTTTATATTGAACGGGCTTGATGCTTTTAAAGTTCTGTATTCATTAGCTCCATTCTTGTTCTAATTTGTGTATGATGACTTTGATTCTTTATTCGAAGAAATGCTTCAGGCAGGTTAGCATCAGTGTTTGTATAGCACCTCAAACGTTCGAGGAATGAAATTAGCTTTGGTGATTTTTGTTAAATTAGTGTATTTGACTAGCTTGTGGTAGATGCAAATTGGTTTACTACGTACAATTTTAATCTAAATCTATAAAGCGAAGACGATAGAGTGCAGGTGTGTTCAGGAGACTACTATGCTGTCAAAGTTGTTTGACGCCCATTTTTCTGAGTAATAAATTTTGGAATAGTGATTTTTGGAAGAATGTGTGGTTAACAAGTAAGGAAAAGTTTTGAGCTTATGTATAAAATTATTTTATTGAAAAAATGTATTGTTGAAAATGAGTTTTGAAAATATAAGGCTCAAACAAGGATAATATGTGTACAGACAAGCTCTTGTTCTCTGATCTGTTAAGTTACATTTTGTGATTTACCTTCCTCACAATGCTCCAGGGACGGGGCGGTGGGGACCCTCAAGGTTGGGGTTCAACCTGTTTATATTGAGACCGACCAACCATTTAAAAGGAAGATCACAGTGGGATACGTGAAGAGATTTTAGATATTTAAAGAATAACTAACCTTCAACAAAGAGGTGAGCAGGCAGATTGACTATAGTCTTTATTCTTGCTACCAAATAGCAACAAGTTAATTTAATGATTTATCATTTTTTAATGGTGGGACAGCTAGACAAGCCTATGAATAAATTATAAATTGATAATCATTGAGAATAATTTTAGATAATAAAAAGAAAAATGTTTTTTGTATATCACCATTTTACATTTTTCTAAATATTGGTGAAATGACAGAAAGAAAGTTGGTGAATTTTATTTTTAGTTGTTTGGTGAATTTTTGGCTTAATAGTCACGTTGATAAACAAATTTGTAAGTTGTAATGTACATATAACACAATAGTAATAAAAATGACATTATCAAAATTGTGAAAAGGATCAAGACTATTCAATTTGATATGAAAGATGATGGGCAATAATTTCATACATATTGTTGACTTGAAAATATGTTCGGTCGAGTGGTCAACAAAATTTGACCGGCTAGGTGTCTTCTATATACTGCAAATGCATTATTAGGATGCAAACGTCATCGTCCTATAGAAAAGAGTGACGATAGTATGAACTCTGATAATCAAATAAATTGATAGAATATGAAGAATAAGTGCATGAGATGAGTAACAGGATTTTATTATAGCTAGTCATAGGTGAACATGCGTTACACATTATTTTAAAAGGTTTTATAATTACTGTAAAAGTAATATTTGAATATACGTGAATATAAAAAATAGTTAAAAAAATTGTTTACGTGAACATAGAGTTGGTACAGACTAGGCATTCAAGAAGCTCACTGAATATTTAAGAGATTAGTTCATTTATGTCTAATAATCATGAGAACAATCAAATACATTCATGAGCATGAAATTTAATTAATTTGAATAAATAAATATTGAAAAATAATAATTTATATACACACGACCTTGAAAATTAACTTAGACAAAAGGGATGTACATGAACTTGGAAAATAAATTTATGTCATAGATTAAATCAAAAACTCTTGAAAATAAAAAAGTATACATGAATTTGAATAATTTATTTACTCTTAAAGTAGTTGAATAGTCCCAAAACATATCAAGTGTAATTAATTTGCACCTTTTTGATCTAAATATAAGAAAAATGCAAACCCTTGAAAATAAATATTAATTATTATACATACACGTAAATAATGAAATGCATAATTGTAATGTTAAATGCATACTGATATGATATTTAATATATTAAAATTTCGGGACTTGGCTTCGAGTCAAGCCTCTAAAAATCGATAGGGTTTTGGTTTTGGTTTTGGCTCAGCTCAACTCGAGCTTCTTTTTTACCAAGCCTTGCATAGACCGTGAGCCGACTCGATTCGACTCGTTGACAACCTTAGATTATCAATGTCCAAATAGTACGAGATTCACTTCCCTTCTCAAGTACTTGCACAATTAGGAACTCCAGTTAAAACCGTTTTGCAGAAGATATTTCTGTGTGAAAGCTCAGAAGAGAATATGATACAGGCAGATTTTTTTAACTAGAGAAATCGTCGAGAAGATTCAAGGGACTTCGATGAAATTGGGCTTGTACAAAATGAGCCCATTATGGAATCCCGTGTAATATCTAGGCCAATTCTTTAAGCCTTATCTAACGATTACTTATCGATCTTCTACCATGTTTTGTCTACAACGTAAAGTTATTAGTAATGCAACTACGAATTTCGCAGGAAAGCTTGATTATGGTTCAAGATGAACGTTGATAGTATGATTAAGATGAGCAAGTTGGGCATGGGATATTTACATTCCGTTTGGCCTCCGTTAATTCAAATTTTAATGGGTATAACAATTTTTTATTTTTTTATTTTTGATAATGAATGATTGAAAAAGAAGGAAAAATTTTCGATTTACGTGTAACAATATTTTATAGAAGATTATATGGTTAAAAATAGAAGGAAGAAAAATAAAATTTAATTTAATGTTGGTCCTCATTATTTCAAAATTTAATGGGTGAAATATTATTTTTTGAAAAATTGGTAGTTGAAAAAGAAGAAAAAGTTTTCGATTTAAGTGTAATATTATTTTATGAAAAATTGTGTGGTTGAAAATATGAGAGAAAAAAATAAAATTTAATTAAATGGGGTCAAACAGGGGCTTATATTAAAAAAATAAATAAAAAAAGAACAGGATTTTTCAATCTCAATAATATTCATTACATAAAACGCTTCTATCATATATTCAGAGAGGTACTTCAAAAAGATCTGCTATCAAATAGAGTTAAAACCATCTTCTCATGGGCTTCGTAGGTATAGTAGTTGGTCAAAATTCATCCCCAAACTCAAACATATTTTTATTTTATTTTATTTTATTTTTGATGACGGAGGAACCCGTAGTCGCTATTTTTCGGGTGCGCACTAGGTAAACCCTTGAATTGATGCAATAGCTTGCAAACCACACCAGTCAAGAAAATCGTACTAAGCAAGCCCGGTGTGACAGGCTTGACCGAGCTCCAAACTCAACCTTGTGCTCTATATGTGCGGCACATCACCACACATCTTTATAAATAGGTGGCTTGACTTTAAAGGGTTCTATCCTAAGGTCACTATCCCTCGCTGGTATTACCACCTTAACCTTGGACCTACAACTCGAGCAGCGGCGGAGTTGGGTATTTTAGATTCAAGGAGCCTTACGATAGTCAACAATCGGCGTGCTACAATGATCAACACCATCGCGAAGATTTTGAGAGAAAGTGGAATTTAAGTAAACAATATAACAACTAATTTTTTTCATGAATTTTGTTAAGAAAACATGAAAGTAATCAACTTTGGATACACAAAAACGCAAATAAAAAGGTGAAGAAACATAAAATGGGAATTGATAACATTTTATTTTACAAAATCCTAAAAATAGAATTTTTTTGCGAAAATAAATGAAAATCAAAAAGCAAACAAAATACACAAAAATCATTCCTATAAGTGGATCAATCAACTTGAACTTTACGGAATTAAAGGTTGAATCTAATTTTAAAGGGTGGGGATTAATTTACTAAATGCACTAAAGTTATAGGTCAATGCACAAGAAATGATAAAGTCCGACATCTCTAAATTAGTATAATCATGACTCCGCACTATTCTTTCGGTATACTTCAACTGGTTGCATTTTACTTTTGCTATATGTTGATGAGATTATTATTACGGGTAATGATGTTGATGAGATCTCTGATTTGAAATTAGAATTGGCTCATTGTTTTGAAATGGAGGACTTGAGTGTATCATCTTATTTTATGGGGATTGAAGTTGCTTCTTCTCTAAGAGATTATCTTCTCTCTCAATCCAAGTATACTATTAATGTTATTGAGCACGCGTCTAACTTACACTAAAACTATCGATACTCTTCTTGAATCTAATGCTCGTTATTCACCCTTTGACGTCGTATCTTTGACTGATCCCACTTTGCATCACACCATTGTTGAATGTCTAGTTTATCTCACCATCATATGTCTCGATATTGCTTATAATGTTTACATTGTTAGTTAGTTTGTTTCGACCCCTGTTAAAATTTACTGGTCAGCTATTGTTCGTATTTTATGCTATCTTTGTGGTACTTGCTTTCAGAATCTTCTGTTTTTCTCGACCTCCCCTTTGGTGCTCCGTGTTTATCCTGATGTTGATTGGGCCAGTAGCCCCTTTGATCGAAAGTCTACAACTGATTTTTGGATATTTTTTGGGTGATTCCCTTATCTCTTGGAAGAGTAAGAAACAGATCGTTGTATCTCGTTCCTCTATTGACGCAGAGTATCGTGTTATGGTATCTACCACCACTGAGATTGTATGGTTGCATGGTTACTTGTAGACATGGGCGTTCCTTCTTCCTCTCCAATTCCTGTTATGATAATAAAAGTGCTATTCAGATATTACACAATTCTGTATTCCATGAACGCATAAAGTATATTGAGATTGACTATTATTTTTGAGAATGAATGGTTGAAAAAGAAGGAAAAATTTTCAATTCACGTGTAATATTATTTTGTAGATGATTGTGTAGTTGAAAATAGGAGAGTGAAAAATAAAATTTAATTTAATGTTGGTCCTCATTATTCCAAAATCTAATGGGTGAAATAGTTTTTTTTTTTTTTTTTTTTTGGAAAATTGGTGGTTGAAAAAGAAGAAAAAGTCTTCGATTTACGTGTAATATTATTTTATGAAAAATTATGTGGTTGAAAATATTAGAGAAAAAATAAATTTTAATTGAATAGGATCAAACAGAGGCTTTTATTAAAAACAAAAAAGAGAGAGAAAAAAGAAGAGGATTCTTCAATCTCAAAATCTCAATAATATTTATTACATAAAACGCTTCTATCATATATTCAGAGAGGTGCTTCTGCTATCAAATAGAGTTAAAACCATGTTCTCATGGGCCTCGTAGGTATAGTAGTTGGTCAAAATTCATCCCCAAACTCAAACTTTTTTTTTTTTTTAATGACGGGGGAACCCGCAGCCGCTACCTTTTGGATGCGTACTGGGTAAACTCTCAGACTGACAGAATAGCCTGCAAA